CAGGGAGCGGGTCACCCTGAACAGGGCGGCCGGACGATTCTCTGATGATGCAATAAGAGCGGAAAAGTAATTAAACTTTGCCGCTTTTATCGCCACTAAGTAGGTCTTAATATGCGACCTTACTAGTGTTCAGTCAGATTCAGCGAGACTGGCCCTCCAACCGCTCTCCAGGCATCTTTTCCGGTCCTTCATCTCCCTCAGCTCCTCGGTAAACCAAGGAGCCGCAAGGGATCAGCACTGGGTCAGAGGCCGCAGAAGCACGACTCGATCCAAGGCCATACCAGCCTCCCGATCCCAGGCAGCCACCAGGTCTTCAGCCGAGTCATGTGCCAGATCTTCAGGAGGTGGCCCAAGCTCCATCTGGAACCTCTCAGGATCCATCAGGCGCCTGGGGCGGACCCATCTTATTGGCTCTGCCTCCCTGCGGTGGGGTGTAGCGGTTCAAAGGTCCAGGCGAAGGAGCGAGTGATCTGACCATGACAAGGGTTCCATGTCTATATCCCCTATAATAAGACCACTCAACCACTGGCCAGAGACAAAAATCAAGTCCAGAGTGTGAGCCCCCCTGTGGGTGGGGCCATGAACTAGCTGGGTCAGGTCTATGGCTGTCATGGAAGCCATGAACTCCCGAGCCATCTCGGACGTTTCACCAATGGACGGCAAGTTGAAATCACCCATGACCATAAGCCTGGGTGTATCAACTGCCACCATGGCTATCATGTCGAGGAGCTCGGGCAGGGCTGTTGCCACGCGGCAGGGAGCCAGGTATGCAAGCAACAAGCCCATCTGAACCCCACGACCCCATCTCACAGAGGGATTCACATCCGGCAATCTGTGGCACAGTGGTCTCCCTCGGACCAAGACCTTCGTTAATAATAACCGCCACCCCCCCTCCCCTCCCCTGGGCCCTCTATGTTCTATGGACTGCAAAATTATTTTGGGAAGAATATTCCCAATTATTCCCAGCAAGTGACAACCCTCACAATCTGCCACGTCCGGTCTTCCACAAGTTTTTCCTGGAGCTTCACTTGATGGGGGTTCGTTATGCCCTTATGCATTGTGGATACATGGTACATTAATAATAATTGCATCTATTACAACATAACAATAATTACAAGTATACAAATGAACATACAGTTCCTCTGGGAGACCTAATTTAATTAATTCTGTGTTTGCAGATCTTATCCTTTAATATGTGGATTAGGTCTGGGTAATTTATTTGAGGAAGTTTGCTAATTTTAGTTGATTAACTTAGTTTCAACTTGACAATCAGTTATCTAGTGGAGACACTGATTCCCAGACCATTGTGGATTCTGTTAATATTTTGATGGGAAGTTGGAAACAGCATAAAGAATAAAATATATTTGGATATAAAACTTCTTTTTTAAAAGTTTTTTATTTTTATTTTTTTTACAGGCACATCATTGTGTGAACAGTGTGGTACCAGAATGTCTTACATTTTAGTACAAATAGAACAAAATTCTTCATATTTAATACTGTTGACAATGTTTTAGTAATTTTAGTAATTTAGGTTTTAGTAATAGTACACATATTTTGTTGAATTATAATATTTCATTCTTTGATTATTAAATATACCAATCTACAAATTCTAAAAGTCACTCCTTTTACTACAGATAAAATATTGATATCCATATTTGTGTTTAACAAACTTATATAGTTCTAATAGTAATACAGATTTATGTTAAATTATAATGTTCTATTGTTTATCCCCTTTCTAATTTTTAGTGATGCCACTGTTATGTTTAAAAAATATCCCCTTTCTAATCACATTTTAATACAAATAAAACAATATTCATCATATTTACGTTTGACAAATTATATAATTCTAATAATACACATGTTTTTGTTAAATTATAATCTTTCATTATTATCTTCATTATATCTTTCATTATATATCTTTCATTATATATTGTTTTTATATCAGTCAAATTCCCCATGTCATTCCTTTTACTACAAATAGAATGTTGGTAATCATATTTGTTATATTTAACAAACTTACATAGTTGTACTAATAATACATATATTTGTGTTATGATCTTCAATTGTTTAATTATTCAGTATTTCAATATGTTGTTTTTAAATCCATCACTATATTGTTCTAACATATTCAAAATTACCATCATTAAGATTCTAGGTTCCCTTCTTGTTATTAATTCACTTTGTAATGTAAATATATATATTCCATTAATTCCCCTTTCTCTAGCTTCCAACCCTATTTTAACTTATCTCACTATTGTTTTTTTAAAAATGTTCCCTTTTTTTTATCCATCCTCACCGGCTTTAAAGCTTTAATTATTCATTTCTTAGCTTGCCTCCCATATTCCTCTCTTGGATCTTTATCTCTATATGCTTCCACTTCTTGGCCAATCCTCTTAAACATTTCTCCCTTCTCTACCCTGTTCCATTGTCTAATTTTCAAGTTGTCTATTCTTGCTCCTATCTCTCTCCCAAAAAGTTCTTCCTGCAATTCCAATTCTTGTTTAACTTCCCTTAAAATACTCTCCCCTTGTTTTATTTCATCAATCATTATTATTTTTATTTTTATATCCTTCTTGTCATTACTTTTTATTTGTTGTTTTGTCTGTTCTATTTTCCCGGCTGCCCTTTCAGTTAGCTCCTCCTCTTCCTGGGCATCCTGGTTTGTCCTTGTCCTTTGTGCCATAATTTCCAGCTTTTCATCTATGCTCTGCATCTTCTTGTCAAGATGTCGACACAATTTCTTCCCACATTCCACTCATTTTTTTTCTTTTCTTTCTTTTTGTCTAATAGTCCAACGATCTTATATTCAAACCTAAAGCCACTTCTCAAAAAGTTCAATGTGCAAGAATCTTTGTATCCCGAAATTAATCAGTCTGTTCGTCTAGATAAAGTAGAACCTTCATAAGTCTACTTATAAGTGGACTTATAAGTCCACTTATAAGACCACTTATAAGTCCATAAGTGGACTTATGAAGGTTCCACTTTTAGATAATCGAAAAGTGGAACTTTCATAAGTCCTCTGCCAGTTCAGTCTTATATTGAACCTTTCAGGGGTCTTTTTAGTAATATTCTCCCATTTAGATCTCCCATTTAGATCTCCAGAAGCCAAGTCTTTTCAGAGTTTTGGGAATATATTGTACCTTTCTTTGACAGCAGGTGGCACTCTTAAATCAGATTTCAATCTTAGCCATTCTTATCCAGTTTTGCTATAGTACTCCAAAATATAAATGTGATATTGGCTTTTTAAATAATACCTTCAGCATTTTAAAATGCCTAGCCCAAGCCAACATCTGTCCAATTAGAAAATCCAATTTTCTATATTTTTAACAAATTTTCTATTTTCTTTCTTTGATTCTTTTCCCTTCCGTTTTAAATTTTTAAAGTTTTGCTCAAGGTGTTAGGTCACAACCACTTTATAGATAATTGTGAGACTCTCTTTTCCTGAATATTCTTTTGGGGTTACACTTTCAATAAAAAGGATTCTTCTCACCCAGTTCCAAACACCGTTCGCCAAATCTGCTCCAGCACTCTTCTTAGATGTTAGCTGTCTCCGGCTCTGTGGCAGCCATCTTGGCTGCCTCTTCTCCTTGCTGTGACATAGAGGGAAGAAAAAGCCCTGGAGTTCTTCAGGAGAGTTGTGCAGTTTTGGCTCCTTTTGGAGCCCACAAACAAAGAGAAGCCAGCAAAGGGACGGAGAGCTCCCTTCCCTTGCAACTGTATTGCTGCGATGTCACTTCTGGTTTCTGGATTTAAAACTTCTCAGACCATTATCCAAGAAGGAATATTCTTGGACCCTTTGTTAATGTTATTTTATACATTACTTAAAACTGTCTTTATCTGTAACCTTATGTGGGCAAAATGGTGCATCGTAGGGCAAAACCTTTTGAATCAAGATACCTCAAATGGGTTAATGTACAGAATGTGTCTGAAATACAGGACCCATGACTCCTGTGGAATTGAAATTTGACAAATTTTATTAAATATTTTATGATATAAAAATTATCATAAAGCATTTTATGACATAAACATTTTACAATGTTATAAATGTATAAAACTGTACCATGCTGTACAGTTTTATTTATTTATTTATTTATTTATTTATTTATTTATTTATTTATTTATTTATTTATTGGTTCGATTTATATGCCGCCCTTCTTTGGAGACTCAGGGCGGCTTACAATGTGTTAAGCAATAGCCTTCATACTTTTGTATATACCTGCTTAGTAGGGCTTTCACACCCCCCCCAAGCAGTGTTCCTTTTTATACAAAGTCAGCTTATTGCCCCCACAAACCGGGTCCTCATTTTACCTACCTGGAAAGGATGGAAGGCTGAGTCAAACTTGAGCCTGGTGAGATTTGAACTTGCAGTAATTGCAGGCAGCTGGTATTATTTAATAGCACTTTAGTCTGCTGCGCCACCAAGGCTCTTAATAATTTGGACTACTTTCAAAGCAGATATACTTCTAAATACAGTATCACCTTGAATTTTTAAGAACTTTTCAAGTACACTAGAAGCTCTGCTACTGTTGAAGCCATGGAAGAATCTGGTAAGGAAATATCTCTGAAATAATGACTCAACCGGTCATAGGTTGCCTAGTGTTTGTTAATGTTAAAATCTAAAGGTTGATCTTTGTCTCATGTTGTAAAACTGGGCTGGATAATTCATGGTTTCCATAATATCCTTATGTGGTCTCTAGAACCTCCTTTTATTGAGTGGCCCAAATGTAGCATTTTCTCCAGCATTAAACCGCCCCCGCCCCCAGTTTTTCTCTCCAGCTCTGATAGTTAAAATATTTAATTTACTTTATTTCCCTCCAGACATTATTATTTTTAGTATAACAGTACTAATGCAATAGCTTTATTTGAAGTGTTCAAACTATAGCATATGTATTGCTGAGTGGCCATTGTTACTTTCATTTCCATTTGTTATCTTTACATGAGATCCATGAACCCAAATGCCATATAACAGCACTAAGTCTCTGTTTTCTTTCTTTGTTCAGGTTATGATCATTGGAAGGGGCAGGTATTAAATTCAGATGAACTTCATGAACTGTATGAAGGACTGAAACTGAACAATGTGAATCATTACGACTATGTACTTACTGGTAAAGTATCTACTGCTTTGTTTTTTGTAACAGTTTAGTTACAATGATTAAAAAACTAGAAAGATTTAAACTGGAATAAAATTGATCAATCTTATTAAATTAACATTTAAGTGGGATAAAGGCAAAAAGGGTCCCTTATTTAGAGAGGGAGTGCATGATCATAAATAGCTTTAACTGTACACTTTCTCTCTATGGGTCATTAATTTGATTTCACCTCCTTGCAAAAAGTACAATAGTTTTAAATTTCCTTTTTATTCATGTTCCTTTCTGTAGTGACTAGTCCTGTTTTAAAACTTGCTAGATGAAATTGATTTATATATTGATTTATTTAACTTCTACAAGATAAAGGGTGTTTTTAAACCTATAAGATAACAGGAAAACGTAATCATGCAAGTCTGGAATCATAACCCATAAAGGATTGCCATGAAGGGCATTGCACAATTGACATTTTTTCCCTTTTTTGGTTTCCATGAATTTTTTGGATATAAATGAATGAGACTGCCCTGTTTCCTGTGGTGGAAATGAATTTTCAGCATAAACAAACCTTTTATTTTGGAGATGTTTCTGTTATTTTCCTTGAGGAAAATGTAAGTGAGCAAAATACAAGAATAACTTCACAGGAATTTTGCAAGGTGACTGTTTTCATTTCCTGTGGCTAACCAGCTAAATAATTTCTTAAGCTTTCCAAATACTACAACTCTCTAGCTGGGGTTGATAAGCATTAGAATCCCCCAGTATAATGAAGAGCCACAGAAGATTCTTTAGCATTTAAGAATTTCCCTACCTTAATAAAAATTAAATAATACCCTACCTTACAAAGTTACATGTTTTTTAAATTTTATCAAGAATTTTTACCTCCAATTGTTGATTTGTCTTTCTTGAAAGTACGTATCATTTCAGGTCAATTTAAAAATAGTGCCTTTATTTTTTGGTTACTATGTGCAACTGGATTGCTTTGGTAGCTGATCTTAATGAAGCAAAACAATTCAAAAATTAATACTTCTGTTCAGTTATAATAAAATATATATTATTAATGTATATTCAATACCAAAGTTTAGGCAGTGTGACTAGTATTATGAGATAAATCCAGGAACAAAAATACAGCACCCAGCACACAGAGCCTTTAGATAATTAACAGTGGTTTTATCTACAGCTAAATATATACAGACTTATACGTGGTAAATACCTTATCATATAGCTACTGACACAAGGAGAGCAATGGGATACACGACGAGAAAGAACATGAGGAGAAGGGAGATGCCCTCTAATGGCTTACCTTATATAGGCAGCTTCTTACCCAGCTCCTTAAAGTGGCAGTAACCCTGCTGCCTCATTCCCATTGCATCAGCTTCCGGTTGCCTCCACTTACAACCTCTCATCAGTTTACAGCAATTAAACCTGACAAGTTCTTAAGTGAACTCAATATGGGTATGGCAGAACAGGTATGTAATTGCATCCATATGAACTGATTGCACTTGTAGATTAATTCTGGTGGAACTGGGATAGAAATAGTGTGTCCATCCTAGCTTTTTTTTTTAATCTCTTGGTGGGTTTCATTACCATAAATCATAGTATATTTCTAGACTGACTTCAAAGCTTAAAAATAGAGGTACAATGTTACATTGATTCCTGTCCTTCCTTCATGGCTATATCTACTCCATATTGGGGGGGAGGTGATCCAGCCCAACATCATTCCATTAGGATGGTCCCCAGGTTCTAGTGCTCTTATTTAACATCTACATGAAATCATACAGTGAGATCATCAGTCAGTATGAGATCAGATATCATCAATATGCTAATGATACTTAGTTATGGATCTTTATCCTTAGTTGACCAAGTAATGCCGTCTAGGTTCTTTCCCAGTGTCAGGAGTCTGTAGGGGTCTGAATGGGAAATAATAGTTTTTAGCTCAGACCTAGCAAGGATGAGTGGCTGTGGGTTTTGGGACCTGGAAATTATTCACCTTTGGTTCTAGATGAAGTTTACATTTCCCAAAACAAAAGTAGTTCAGGAAGGCTTTGGCATCAAGCTAGAAACTGTGACTCCAAGCAAATATCTAGCAAGAACTTGCATTGCTCACTTCAACCAGCTTGTTCCTCTATCATTTTACCTCTAATGTTGCCCTTCTCTAGATTAGTGGTCTTCTGCTCAGAATCACAACATTGGCACAGCAAAAAGTCAAAGCTATAGAATATTTGTATATTTATTCATGTACAATACTGAAAAGAATATATTATTAGAATCATGGAATGCTTCTGGCCTACAACTCTTTGTTCTTTTTTTCTTGTTTATATTACATATGTACCGAAACAGCTACTATTCATTATGAATGTTCAGGTTTTGCCTCCCATTATCAGCTCATAGGCTGGTAAATTCAAAATGAAGGTTGCACAGTGCACAATACTGTAAAAGTTTTCCTTGTACTATCTAATACAAATAGAATAAAAATAAAATATTTTTACAAAAATCTTTTTATAAAAATAAAGAATAGCCACTTCTCTCTATTTCTTATAGTAAATTGTGTTATAATTCTCACCAGTCTTTCTTATAATGTATATTGTAGATGCATACTTAATTTGAATTAAAGAGGAATCTATTTTAATATCTTTTTCCAATATAGCCATAGATAATTTGTCTTGTGTTTCTATATTGGTTCATTGTAATATGCATATATCATGAACTTTATCTGAAAGAAAAAAGTAAATCATATTGGTTGATAGTTTGGGAAAATTTTTGGGTAAATAATTAGCCACAATCGTAAACTCTCAAAGATTATCACTAGCCATGTTAATCTCAAAGCAATAGTTTAAGTTTACTTAAATAGTTAAGTAAAAGGTATAAAGGTCATTCTGGTATATATGCTTTGGTTTAATGCAACATTTGTCTTTAATTTAGCCAAGGCAGAAAAGCTGGTCACATCTACTTTATTCAGAACAGGGGTAAAACAATCTTAAAACACTAAAAGGGTAGGGGAAGGATCCAAAAGTAGAATGCCATGCTCAAAGCTCTGGTAGAGTGAAAAAGAAGGGTTACCTTCTTTTTTTTTTTTTTTTTTGAAATACCATTTATTTATTTATTTATTATTTATTTATTATTCGTATTACTATGCCGCCCACTCTCCGAGGACTTTGGGCGGCTTACACCAAAGACAGTATACTAAATAGCATATTGCCCCCAACAATCTGGGTCCTCATTTTACCCACCTTGGAAGAATGGAAGGCTGAGTCAACCTTGAGCTGGTGAGATTTGATCCGCTGATCTGCTGAACTAGCAGTCAGCTGAAGTAGTTGCAGTACTGCACTCTATGTCTCATCTTTACCATTTGTTTACAGTTGTCTGTTTTTTTTCTAAGAAAAAGGTTAACTGTCTGATTTGTTTAACAATGTAAAGGAAACAGATATAATAATCATACATAAATAATTAAGAGTACCTTAGTTTCTGAACTGAGAAAAAATGCCTTGGTTTTTTTGGTGAAAGCCAGACATCTTTGCCATCGGTAAATTTTCTATCTTCCACACCTGGACTAACTGGGTGAATCAAGATAAAAATAAAAATATTATTGCTGGCACTATATTATTCACACCAACAAAGAAATCAGCATGGTTCAGCTAATCCATACATGAGCTGGCCAAAAGGCTATTCTGCTGCTTGGGGTACAAGACTATATTGGCTTTCCACCAAAGAAAAAAACGTACATGGGAAGACAGCTTGGAGGCTTGTTATGAGAATATATATAGATACCGTGTTTCCCTGAAAATAAGACCCTGTCTTATATTTTTTTTGAATCCCGAAACAAGGGCTTGGTCTTATTTTGGGGGGGGGGTTTTTTTTTTTGGGGGCCAATTTGGGGGGGGGGGGGGGGGGGGGGGGGGGGGAGAAGCGAGGTGCAGGAAGCCCTGCCATGCCCAGCGAGAGAAGAGACGGCAAGAATCACAGCTGCTTTTGCAGCCAATTGAGGCAAGAGAAATGGTGGAGGGGAACCAGGAAGATCAGGTAGACAAGATGCCGGGCATTGAGGGTTCTCAACTTCTCATGAAGAAAAAAAATCTCACGAAGTTGGAAGGTGTTTTTATCGTAGTCCCATAGAATACTTTTCTTGCCCTGCATGTGACAGTGAAGAACAGAGCTGGAAAGCCAGTTAGTGAAGGGATGTGGCTGCCTTGGGAAGTTTGGGGGGGGGGTGAGGGACCTGTGTGTGTGTTGTGTAGAGGGGGGGGACGGAGAGAATGTTGCTGCCAGCCCTGGATAACTCTCCAAGATTGGATCGGATCTCTCTCTCTCTCTCTCTCTCTCTCTCTCTCTCTCTCTCTCTCTCTACACACACACACACACACACACACACACACACACACACACCGTTGTTTCTTTGGGATCACAGCACAGATGGCCCTTCCAGGATTGCAAGGCTGAAGGCTTGGGATGGAGCATTTGGGGGATGTGTGTCTGTGCTGCAATCCCAAGTAAAGAAAGATCGGCAGGAAAAGGGGGAGGAGGCCGGCAGCTGGGGAGGTGCTCTGTAGATCTGGGCCGAGTTGCACAGCCCTCGTTGGCTCAGCTGATCAGCGGGCAGCAATTAAGGGGCTGCACCTCCAGGTGGTAGCCAGGGAAGGGAAGCGCTGCCTCCTGTGATGGCCACGCCCACCCCTTCACTAGGGCTTATTTTCGGGAGAGGACATATATTTATGACCACCCCAAAAATCAGGCTTGGCCTTATTTTCGGGACATGTCCTATTTTCGGGGAAACATGGTATATATAGTATCCCCAAATCTCAGAAAGTTTATGATGGTTCATAAAGGATCAGTCATTGAGATGTTTACTGTGGACACAGATTATAGTTTGTCATATTATTACAAATCCTGTATAATGAATATTGAAAGTTATATACATCCTTAAATTTCTACAAAAAATAAAATGTAAGGAATAAAAAGAGAAGGAAAAAATAGAGGAAGAGAAGTGCAAAGGAATAAAGGAAAATCAAAAAGCAATAGAAAAAGAGAAACTTCCAACTTTCTTCAATACAGTTACAAATATAAAAATGTTAATTTTTTGATTTAAAATTCAAAAGTGGTATCCACATAGAAACAAAGCTAGACAAAAGTGGTTTATATAATCATAATTTCCCCTTCTTGATTTATCAAAGGCTATACCCGGGATAAATCATTCCTTGCAATGGTGGTTGATATTGTTCAAGAGCTGAAGCAACAAAACTCCAATCTGGTCTATGGTAAGTTTATGATACATAAGCAATTTATTTTATGTCAGCCTTCCCAGCCTTAATATGCCAACTGGGCATGATAGATATTATGACTAACAGCCCTGGAAAACACTAGGTTGAAGAAGGCTGCTATTCAGGTGTTTATGTTAGAAGAAATTAGTATTAGTCATCTTGACTTACAACTCAGTTTGGAGATAAAGGAAAATTGTACTTCTTAATTACAGTTCACATATATTTCAATTACAGTTCAAAAAAACACATTCACTTAGAATGCCTTCAAAATGTGATTCTGCAGATGTTGAAGAAAATGGTAGTAATTGAAGAGAAGTAGTCCAGCTTCTCTTCAAGAAGCCATTACTGAATCCAGTGGAACTGAGTAATTTGGCAGAACTGGCTAATCCAGCTCTGGAGATTTTCCCCATAGTTTCCAGGCAAGATTGCACTCCATTAATCAGAGCCAGTTTGCAATTTGGGCTCATGGCTTCTACTTGAGGAACAAGTGGCAACTGCAACTCAGAGGGCCTTTGAGTAACAACTCCATATTTTTTGCCAATTGAATTTCTGGATCAGGAAACCCAATTTATGGTCACTCTTGTCTTTTATCATCTCCTGATTGAATGTTGCAATGTGCTCTCATGGACTACACTTGAAGATCAACCAGAAACTGCAAATGCTCCAGAATTTGGTGGTACTGGTAGTAATAGATGTGCCTTGCTCTGCCCACATTACATCGTTGGTTCTCAATAGATATTTGGGTGCCATTCAAGATACTTGTTATTATCTATAAAGACTTACATGACATAGGATTTGGTTACTTTCAGCACTGCTTCTACCCTGTGGTCTCTGAATGTCACACTAGGTACACAGAATGGGCATGCCCCAGATCCCTTCTCTGAAGCAGTATCATCTAATGGGACATAAGCTATGTGCCTTCTCTATTACTACAATCCCATCCCACATTCCGAGGATTGGATCCTGTTGGCCCTCCCTAGAACCATGAAGACCTGGCTAGTCTCTTGTGCTCTGAACCAGGATGGTAGATGAGCCCATTGTGTGAATAAGTTTTTATCACTAATCTCAATTATATATTCATTATTTTGTATTAATTAATTATGACTTTGATTTTGTTTGGATTTTTGGGGGGGGTTTGCATTGCATTTATTCTTTTTTAAGTTTTATTAAGTTTTATTTTGTACTAGAGTACAAAATTTTGTACTCTATTATTTTATTTCTGTCTAGAGTACAAAATTGTGAGAGGGATGGCCTTATAATTCTTTTAAATTAATAATTCAATATATCTCCATCACATTAATAACACTACTGAAAACTGTCCATAGGCTTCAAAAAGATACATGGGTTATATAAGAAGGCTCAAAAGCACTACAGACTAAGTTGGATTTGTAATGTTATCTGGAACTTGAGATAAACCTGTTAAATTACTATCTATTTTTAACTGCTATTTGCTCATGAATATAGAACAGAAAGCAAAACAGTAACCTTATCTGATGTTACAAGAGACAGCTACCTATTTATTACATACATTGTCTTATCTCTTCTAATATTAAAGAGGCAATTCATACCAGAATGTAAAGAGAATTTGAATACAGCACTCATTGAGAAGCTTGTACCACACGTAGCTATTACCTGCTGTCCTTGAGTTTTCAAATAAGGCTGTGTTGGATCAAATTATTATTATTATTTCTTTTGAAGAAGTAACACATTCTATCATGCTAAAACAGTCTTTCACAATGAATTTTCCTCTAGTTATAATGAACTGCTAAGTTTCCTCCAACTGTCATTAGCCAGGGAACAATAGCTCAAATCTATGATAGGCTGTTAGACTGGGAAAAGTTGTTATAGGGCATTGGACTGTTCCTGCTGTTGTTCTGGTCATTTAGATGGTCCGAGCTTGAGAAGTGTTTCTCTGATATTTTAAGATAGACGCACTACTTGTGATTTTGCTTGATTTCTTATGGACCCTGTAAAAATGCACAAATGACCATTCACACTTTGTGGAGAGAGAAAAGTTCTCCGAGAATGGACTCCAAGTCCAAAAGTGTGGAAGAATAAACCTCCCAGTGATCAACTCAGATTGGCTTCTGCCTCAAATGATCATTTTCTATTTTTTTTGGTATTGCTTTTACAGAGATCCACTTCTCAGCACAGGACAGGAACAATTTTTTAAAGCAATGAATACCACTATCATGTCATTTATCATGTTATTTAATGTGATACTATTGTCATTATAGATCTCACTTACATCCCATTTCTGTACACTACTGGAAGTAGCATTGGAATTTGAAACAAGACTGATAGAGTTTTGTTTTAATTGTTACTAATTTTAAAGCATCCTTATGTGCTCCTACATGTTCCCTTCTTATGATTAAGTTTTAACTTTCTTTTGTAGTGTGTGATCCTGTGATGGGTGACAAATGGAGCGGGGAAGGCTATATGGTTGGTAATCCATTATGAATTTGGCCCATCTTTATAAACAAATGTGTTATGCCAAAGTAACTACACTTTGCAACATATTGTATGTTTTAGGCATAATAAACCTTACAGTATACAGCATTCATCAGAAATTATTAGGACAATCCCCCATACATGTATTTCCATGCTTATTCTAAAACAAATCAGTGTCAGTTTTCTGTGAAAAATACACCTAGGCATCTTCTATTTCTTCAGAACATTGCTTAAGACTAAACTGCTTTTGAACAGAAAGCTAATCCCAAGTTTTCATGAATGGACAGAAGAATGAGACTGCTTGAAGCATGGCTGCATAATGAGTGCTTCCATGAAAATCTGTTTATTGAAAGTGGCTTGTCAATGAATTTGAGTTATTTTCTTTGCCACTCTGACCTTTTTACAATTTTGCATTTTATTGTGTGGATGTGATGAGCAAATATCTAGAGTATTGTTACTATGCACCTCATATCTATACAAATCATACATTTTTTTTGCAAATATACATGAAAGAGCTGAACCATAGATACCTGAAGATTAGGAGACTGTATTGTACCTAGTTTGGAGCTTTTACAGCCTTATGTTGGGGATTGTCAACATTTGTTTTGACATTCCTTCACATGGAAACTTTCTAAATATACTTTACTTATGAATGTTAGCTACCAGTTAATTGAGTGGAACTGTCGCTGCATGTGTTTGTATTTGAACCCTTTTCACTTTCCTAGAATGAACTGCCTAACCTTCTAAAATTATTATAACTTCCTTTGTTTTACAGTATGTTCCAGAGGACCTCTTTCCAGTGTATAAGGATAATGTGGTACCTGTAGCAGATATAATAACACCAAATCAGTTTGAAGCTGAGTGAGTACTGTTACAAATTTTCCAAAAAAAATATTTTTTTCATTGTTCAGCAATGAATAGCAACAACAAAAGATGATGATGATGAAGAAGAAGAATAGGCTTAGGAGTTTTCTTGCCCTCTGAAAAATCAAACTTTAAAAAATGTATAAACTCAGTTGTTGATTTAAAAATAGTAAATTAGTGTCTCTTTAAAGGACACAAGTACATTTTTTTCTTCTTTTCTGGATAGTTTTTTTAAAACTATCATGTGGGAAGGAAATTCAAAAATACTTTTATGGAGTAAAACTGTTAATCCTCTTACTTGCATTCAAGCTAAGATAAAAATAAATCTATTATGCATTTACTGTTCTTCAAAAAATGCATTTTTGAAAACTACTGTTGCCAGTTGCACAGTGTGTAAATAGTGCAATATGTAGATTTATCCTTAATGGGATTGTTAACTAAGAAGATTGGCAGGATCTACTTTTTCATATAGATGCGAGTATTGGAATGTCTACATCAATGGCTTCATTTTGGGACCAACATGTTTCAAAACATTTCATTCATCAAAAAGTGGCAAAATTACTTCAGAAGTAAATTATACCTGCTTTTGAGAGACACTTCAGCAGAAATCAACAGAATAAAGTTAAACTTGTTCTGAATTCCTGAAATAATTAACTCAGTGAAGAGGTTCAATCTCTGTTGGGAATTCTGCTCAAGTGCCTTTGAAGCTAAGGTAGCTGCAGAATCATTTTGAGTGGATAGCGATTCTGAACACAGGTGCAAAGGCTAAATGAGAAGGAATTAGAATCATACTTTGTGGAATTATGGTAAGCTTGTGGAGTTACTGATAGTTTCTTTAAAAAATCCATCTTGAGCTTCCATTAAATTAGGTTTTAGGCAGAGAATACCATACTTTGGCTTCAATAATATATCTATTGTATTGAATAGAATGGGACAAGAGAGTGGTTAAATAGATTGGTACAATTTTTTTTTACAAATTTTATCTCATTTAGCACTAAAAGAGATTTAATTGATATTTTTCACCAAAATGTTCCATGAAAAACATGGACATTATATTTCTAATGGGAAAAATAATGTTTAAAATTTTTATTTCCTTACTTTAGGTTACTTACTGGCAGGAAGATACACACTGAAAAAGAAGCAATAGAAGTAAGTGTGTTGGAAGCAAGGCTTCTCCTTCAGTGTTTTAACAGGATAAGCTACATCTCTTTTCTACTAAAATCCCACTATCCATTATACAGAAAATTATAAATTAGAAGTGACTGTGCTATCTGTCAGCAATAAATGAATTGGAGAATATCAGATTTGATCTCCAGCTGCTATGTAGTACTGCTCCTGGTGTTTATGCCAATTTTGTAGTAATGATATTTGAGCTCCTGTGATAAACAGATTCCACTTTACTACAGAGGTTACTTATCCTAGAACATTTCATTAAGGAAATATGTTAATACATCTATATTTTTTGTTTGGGGTATCTATTAATTTCACACCTTTAGCAGATAGTAAGACTCCTAGTTCCTGATAATTATTTTATCCTTCAAATTCCTGACAATCCACATATAAGACTTCCAAAATTATTGCATCAGCCACATGAAAAGGTGACAAGTAGAATATTTTGTTCTCAAGCTAATGCCTTGATGAAATTATACAGAAAGAACTCTGCATTTCCTGGTATTACTGTTGTTAACCTATTGCTATTAAGGAAGGGTATTTAAGGAATTAGGCTCTTTTGGGAAGTCAGTGTACTGTGGCTAGCTATTTCTTAGATTTGGTATTACCAGCCTTTCTCTAAGATACTTGGATTTCATCTTCCAGAATGCATCAACCATCATAACCACATTTTAGAATGTTGGGAGGTGAAGTCTGTGTAGTTCGATGGAGACCATGTTGCAGAAGGCTATGCTAAATCAAAATAAAATCAGTTGTATTATATGTTGTAGAGTGCATGATACTGTTTTCATGGCATAATCCTGCCAATAATGTATGTGGAAGTGCCATTGATATCAGTGTCCATTGGATGTCCCGTCCTGTTATTATTGCTTCAAGATATGTAGGTTGGATTAAAGGCAGTGTATCTGATTCTTGCAGTAAAATATTTTGACATTAATTTTACTAATTATATTCTGTCAAAATGAAACTCTCATTCTAAGACAATATTATCAAATGTCAAATTAACTATTTTAGCTGCAGAAGTGAAAGGCCCAACTTTAGTAGTCTGCAAATTAACAAGTTTAAGCTTTAGCTTGGCCACCTGTTAAAATCTCTATTGAAAAATTTTCCTTAACATATTGCTTTATTCTCATACAATATTATAGGATGTAGGAAAATCTACCAACTATAAAACAGGGTTGTTGTAAAGTCATCTCAGTCTTTTAATGTTCTATGTTAATTGGCTTTTAGGAGATGAACACTCATTTTGTGACAAGATATTAGTTGGAAAAGACAATTCAACATATTCTATAAAGCGAGCTCCAATTGCTTTGCAGGCTAGTTGGTATGAAGGACATAATCTTACCATCTCTGTCTCTACTTCCAAGTTCCTTTTACTATAACCAGAACCAAAACCAGTTTTAACTAATTCAGTTGCAGCTGCTTTCCTAAAGTCATTCTAGAAAATAGTCTCACATCAGCATAGCTGAAATGTTGGTTCTCAGAAGGAAAATGATGCTGCATTTTGCCATCATGCTCTTTTGTTCAGATATTCTCATTTTTTCTGTTTCCTTGCAAAAAATATCTTTCTTTCTATTAGTGCCATAGATCTACTGACTGAAAAAACCAGATCTAAGAGATTTATACATGCCTGCATGCACTGAAGCAGTTTATTGCCAGAGCGATTTGACCTCTCATAAGGATAGTTTTAAATAACTGAAGCTGTGAAAAAAAAATTTCTTTGTATTATATTTTATATTAAAAGGCATGCAGTTTAGACACTTATGTCCCAAAAAGCATAGTCACCATCTCACAAAACACACATATTAATACTAACATATTTCCCCTCATATATTTGGAAAGGTAATGGATATGCTCCACAATATGGGACCAGAAACGGTTGTAATCACCAGCTCAGACCTTCAGGCACCTTCAGGAAACGATTATCTGATTGCGTTAGGAAGCCAAAGGAGAAGTATGTTTTATTTTTAATCAATCATCTTTCCTATTGTTAGAGCATTTACAGGTAGCTTGACACTTACCTATTTTTTCCCATTTCTGTATAAAGTAATTAAAACAAAGCTTTGTTTTCAGTTACTATTCAAATGTATAAAGCACTAATTGCAGAAACATACAAATAAATATTTAAGCTGCAATCCTGTCTCACTTGAGAGTATGGACTTTTGAATTAAATAGAGTTTGTTTTTGAGCAGGTATCACTTAATATGAGTCAGTGATTTTCTGCTTAATAGAACATTGCTTTGTTGTTGCAATAATGCTATATAAAATAATCTTATATACAACATGGAGGAAGGCTACAGATCATGGAATGATTATAACTTTGCCCTCTTCAATAATAGTGGTGATGCCAATTATATTCAAGAGATATATTAGGCAATTTAAAAAAATAATATTTTATGTTCTGATAAGCAATTTGCATTCTTTTAATGCTGATTTGTTTAAAATGGGTGGGATTCACCATTCCATTCTCTAGCTGTCACTCCTTTTAAAATAATTGGTTATATTGTATACCGTTAGTATTTACTAAAGGAAGTCAAACTGTTCAGGTGCTGAATCACTTTATAAATGGACTTATGTGAGTTAGATACATCGCCCACATCATGCAGAAGCTGCACAGGATCTGAAATGCCAATTACACAGAATTCCATATCATACGTAGCTGTATATTCTACTGGGTGAAGGAAAACACTGTGAATGAAACAGCTTTTCAGATGTGTTGACTCATTGGAGCAGGTTATCACAGTTCAAAAGGTGTAATTGAGCCAACAGAAAGTAACTAATTTCACTTGTAAACTTTTCATTCCACATTCTCCAAGAGATTCCAAGTTTTCATTGAAAGAGGAAACTTCAGGAAAGGCATACGTGCCTAAAGATTGCGGGGTGGGGGATCCTTAATTTTGCAAAGTCCACTAGCCCAATTCAGTGTCAAAGTCCAATACTTTATTTTTTTTCTTGTGCTCCCATGGAATTGCAACATGCACCCAATATTGTTCATAACTTGTTCACTATCAGTGCATCTAAATTTGGGCTCTGATTTACTGTAATTTATGACAAAGCCATGCTAAGATGTACTGTTCTATGTGATTACATAACTGAGAAGAATATAACTAACATGTAATAATGCCTTATTAGCTACAGCAGATGGCACTATAGTGACACAAAGGATCCGAATAGAATCTCCCAAAGTAGATGCTGTCTTTGTTGGAACAGGAGACCTATTTGCTGCTATGCTCTTGGCTTGGACTCACAAACACCCAGACAATTTTAAGGTATGGATTGATTTTTGTTTTCATTTCTTCTCTGTATCAGTTACAGAAAAAAAATATTTGCATGGTTCTCAACAGGATCAAGAGATTAGGCAAAATAAGGCTATATATTAGGTTAGTAAAAGTCTGGATGGCCATAAAAAAATTCTAAAATAAAGTGAGAGCCTTATCTGGAAATGATGCTAAGGTTCTGTTTTAACATAATTAGAGTGATAATGGACAAACTTTGGATGTTAAACCACAATCTATAGTTTTACCCACCAAAGAAAAAAACATAACAAACCAACTTCTGTCAGGCTTAGTATGGTGTGTCATTCAGGACAGCATTTCTATAATAGGGAAATAGTTTAAAAAGTAAAACACTTTGATTTGTATTTTGTATCCAATTTAAATAATTATTTAAACTGTAAATCAATATTCAATGTGGTCAGAATCAGTGAAATGGTAATATCGTAAAACTTTCCCCCCCCCCTTTTTACAATTGCAGATGGCCTGTGAAAAGACAGTATCTGCAATGCAACATGTTTTGCAAAGGACCATCAAGAGTGCAAAGGGTGGGTCAATTTTACAATGATTCTTCAATGATTTATTTATTTATTTAGCATATGGTTCTACATCCAGTATATTCAATTATTATTAGAAGGTTTACTAAAAAGTATCATTGCTGAGTGAATGAGCATGTGATTTGTTCAAGTCCCCAGTTCAGTTTCCTTTACCTCTAGTTGAAAGGATCAAGTGGTCAGATAATAATGAGGCAACTAGACTTCTGTGCTGACTTAATGGTTATATTCATATAACATAGTAACTCATGGTATACCTTATGGTTTGTTGAATTATGAATTTGAACAACACATTAATCATACAGACAAAACTCACACAAGGAGCTAATTATCACATTTAGCCTAATCTGTTATGTAAATCCAATAAATTGCTGAGTCCCATTATGACTCCCACTAAGCCATAATATGATTTGGGGGGGGGAGGGGCATTATATAATGTGAGAATCCACTCATATATTGGTTTACATTATGTGTAAAACAAACCACCATTACTTCTTCAGCAATAGTGACAACAATATTATGTAACAACCCAACCAAAATAACAGTCAAGTTTATATGCAAGTGTCCTTGGAGTTCTGATTAAATTAATCCATTGTTTAATATGCTACAGATATTTTCCAAACTTCTGGGAAAAAGTAATTTAACTTTTGATAAATCTGTCTTGTTTGATCTTTAAAATTTGTTGGATCCAGTTACTTCCTGAACTGCCTTAATTTGGGCCACAATTTGTAGCTTTATCATTAGAAAAAGGAAGAAAAAGTATGATGCTCTATTTCCAGCCAATGTGATGCTGGGATGGAGAAAGTTGCCCCATTTACAGAAAATTGTTCTGATTATGAATATTGGCCACAAGATGGTTTGGTATGGTGCTGAATAACTTATACTAGAGAGAAATACTAGAGAGAAAACTGCAAATGTTTTTTAGTTTGCTTTTCATTGTAAAAGCAACTTCAAAGTACAAATAAGTAAACCATAAAATGCACTTTTCAATGTATGAAATTAAAACAACAAAACAAAAAAAAGATAGCAATAATTCTGACACACACACACACATATATACTACTTCACTAAAACACAAATACAAATTGGGTTTGTTATGTGGGTGACTCATTTTATGACCATCATGATTTACGACCGAAACGGACAGGCTCCACTTTGATCATAGGTCTACCTGTAAATAAATTGTTAATATCTTCCAACAGTCAGAGCAGACTAGATTTATTTCCCAGAGACAGGCATTCAAAGATTTGGGGTCATCACAAAAAAAACCCTGCATATCCAAGACTTACAGATTTCACAATTCTTATTAATGTTCTATATATTAAAACTTCATGCACTGATCTTAAAACTGTAGTAGAAGGACAGTAACGTTTATTGATGATGGGAGAGTTGTAGATCTAGGAGAACTGAGATTTTCTGCTGTGCTGTTTTATATTAATATTAAATTTCCATGGTATTGTGTTTTTTGTTTGTTTTCTTTTAAGACCAAGCTGGAGAAGGAAACAAACCTAATTCAGCCCAGCTGGAACTGAGGATGGTCCAAAGCAAAAAGAACATAGAAAATCCAGAGATAATAATAACTGCTACTGTGTTATAAAGGTTGTGTATCTCCTAACAACGCACAATGTATTGATGTCCTCATTTTCTTTCCTGTAAATTGTGATGTTTGCCTTAGATCTGTGACAGAAACCTGACTTCCATGAAATAGTGCCCAGCATAGATGAGATCCACTACCAAGCACATGTGCTGGCCTTGCTTGAATTAAGAAGAGAAAAAAAGTTAGGTGTGTATTACAGCTCCCTCCCAGGTATGAAAACGGCTGTCAAATTAATTTAATCTCATTATAAAACCTGGGTATAAGCACACAAGGTTTCCTGCCTTGCCAAAGATTTCAAGACTGCATTTTTAGTGAACTGATTGACTGGAGTATATAAACTGGTAAAGTGTCATGTGCCAATTAAGTAGTTTACCATTTCCCTTAAATGAAGAGGTTTGGTAGCCTGCTAAAATATTCAGTACCTCAACTGTTCTGGAGCATAAGAGAGGTTCAGGCAACGTAAGGGGATGGGTGGGTGGGTTTTTAGGTACCGTACACAGGCCTTGGAGGTATAACATGTCTGAACCATTCGCATCTGTGAATAAATTCAAGATTCCACTGTCCAGAGGTGCTAATACTTTACTATCAAACTATTAAAAATATCCCATGTCTTATTTTTATTTAGAAAGAAATGATGATGTGTAGAATATAATGGTAATTCTACCTCTGATAGAATAGGCTTGATTCAATTTTATCAGCATTTTCCTTAACCAATACTTACTGTGAAATCTGAGTATCCCAGTTCATCTTCTGACAACTAGGAGTGACGTGAAAGGCTATGTGTTACATATTAAGACCAATTCACTGTTTATTGCTGCGGATGAGGGTATTCCTGCTCTATGAATGGAGAATTAAATTAAAGCACCATCTAATAAATCAGTTACACCAGAGGCAGAGTTTTAATACACTAAGCATTGCTGTTGTAGTTTCTATCCCTTTCAAAAACATAGCACACTGTCTGGAAAAGAACATAGATTTTTCTGGGAGTTTAATGCCCATTAATATTGATTAACCAGTACAGACCAGTCTCATGAATTTACAGTTATTAATGTTTTACTCTAAAATAATTAAGTTGTACATTGCATGAAATGTAAACATGCCTAAATACTTTGGAAGTCAGTAGAGTACAGGACTTCTTTCACATGCAATCTCTTCGAATATACTGGTGTAGGTTTTCATGGCCAGTATCTGTTGTGATGTGTTGGGCTTCAGGGTTTAGTGATGGTGGCCTAGACAGACAATAGATTTTCTGATGTTTCACTGGTGACTGTGGTTGTAGCCATCTTTGCCTCTGAAGGTACCAGCCACAGTTGCCAACTAAGCATCAGGAACCTGTTGTCTAAATCTCAGTCATTGAACTCTGAAGCCCTACACTGCCCAATCTCTTTGAAATTACTAAATTAGCTTTGATTCTCTTTATCTATTAGGCTTAAGATCATGCACAGTTAATTTAAAATTTTAAGTCTCATTTCTTTGCCCCCATTGTTGATTTTTCCATAAGTAATATGGAACAGATAAAACAGGGTATCATATCAATCCACGATCCTTCTTTACAGGTAACCAGGGTATTTTCATTATTTCTATTAAATATCCTTTTCTTGGGACATCTTTGAAACTCAGATTCTTGCAAAAGTGCTGTCATTAACATGTGAAACTCTTGAACCAACCTGTGAATTCCATTCTTAGAATCTTAAAGACTTATTAACTTTCATTTATTAAAAATATTTAAATGATCTAACCTTCATACATCTGAAGGGTTTTTTCTTTCTTTCTCCAAAGTGGTCTTCAGCATCAAACAAGTTTTTCACTTGTGGCCTGTTTTAGGGCTAGGGCAATATAAGACCTTCTCTGTCTTCTGGAATAGCCTTTCACTAATGTGTAGGCATTAATGTCTTTGCTAAGCATGACATAAGCAAGGGCGGTAAATAGTAACACCTACGTCTTGCCTGTGGAAAGAATTAAAATATAAACAACACTAGCACATCATTGATTGCTTTCATAAACTACATTGGCCAAATATTGCCTACATGCCCTGTCCCAGCCTTTTGATATGCAATCATAGCATCTGTACTTGAAGGCAAAAGACATTTTGAACCACTTCCTAGACACTACACTGTTTTGGAAGCCATGTTTGCTTCTCTTACTAGAAAATGACAGTATAAGCCCTTTTTCATAGTTTCAAGCATTCCATTAGATGAATCAACTTCATCTTGGTAAAATTCTGATTTCAGGTTTTCAGGTCAAAGCACAAGAGATTCCGACACTATCTCCCAAATCACTGTATCATCCAGATATAACTTGACTGGATACCTGGTTTGCTATAGAAATACCACCTTTAAAAGTTTTATTTAATAGTTTAGACCAATGGAACTATTTTTTTTCCTTTGTCTCTTTTTCAGAATGTTCACTTTGAATAAGAACTTCTTTCACTTACTCTTTTTAATTGTTGGAGGCAAAATACAAACATGATTCCTGTTAAAACATATTTAACAGATCTGAGAGAAATACATTCCCTTTAAGATTAAATCAAAAGGCAAACTCTGTATCTGAAAAAGTGTTTCTCTTGTTGAAATATGGAAAAATTCTATAATTGACTGAAATTTGCAGTCATTTTTCTATTGTTTTCTATTGTTACAGTTTCCATGAAATAAGCAGTTAAAATGTAGGAAATCTGACAATCTATTACCACATGAGATTCCTGCCAACAGAACCAAACAAAGCAGTTATGTTAACAATTGCCATTCTAACTTTTTTTAAAAATGCAATATCAGTATTGGATACTGATTGGATTGAATAGCTAGGTAGGGATTCACTGCCCTTCCTAGATCCAACATAGTATTTGGACTAGGGGAATATAGTTTTGGGAAAAAAATACCTGAGCACAGAGACTTTACATCTGTTAAGCTTATCTGGACATTTAAAAGAATATAGAACATATCAAGGATTAAAGTTGCATTCTACTTATATCACTACTCACAATTTGGGGAAATTTGAAAATTGATAATCATCATTCTTGCCCTGTGCTCCTAGTAGGTGAATTAGTGCCATAATATTCCTAAATCTGGGGCAACCTATATTGAGACTCATCATCTTTCATAGAAAAATAGATATTTAAAGCTGCAATAATAAAAAATATGCTACCAGTTGAACTGGTAATTTTCTAGGAGAATTAGGCTTTTACAAAATTAGCTCTCTTGTCATAAGTTAACCAGTATGTATTAACTCAAACTGAGCATTTGGAATTTGGGTTGTTGTTTTTTTTTTTTAGATAAATGAGAATCATTTTATTTTTAAAGAAAAAGTGAATGTTTATTCAATGCAGAATTTTAATTATGTCAAACCTTTTCAAATGCCTTCTCTTATAGAATAATCACCAAGCCAGTACAACTGTAACCTTAGCCAGGCATCCAGCTAGTCTGGAGAACAGCAAAATATTCCTTTTGGAGGAAAGAAAAGATCCCTTCAAATTCAACCTTCATCTTCATTTTATAATAAATTTTATATATTACTTTAAAATGATGTATTTTAATACTAAATATTATTTATCTGTATTTTTAATTCTGTGCTGGCTAATTTTAATCATTCCCCTAATTTTGAGGAAAATTCAGCAAACACTTTTGTTCCTGCTATAGACATTGATTCTTATGTTTGAGACTCAACAGGAAGTCACTAAAGAAAAGGAAATATAAAAGTTCAGTGTTATCAAGAACATTGGTAGTTGCTGAGATTTTTAATTGCTTTACATTATCTGATTATATATACAGTAAATCAACATATTGCATAGAACAGTGATTCGGTTTTCCTATGACTGTTTTTTCTTTTAGCAACCAGTTCCAAATACTTTTGGAATCAGAAGTACACAAAGCTACTAACAAATACTTCATATATTGGCATATTCATTTAAAGGAAAGAACATTTCATAGAGTAGTTGTCCTACTTACAGGCCCATCCATGTCATTTTTATCCTCAACTGAGTTTCAATATATATATACTATAGATGACTGTTCCCCGAGTATACATGTCGGGCACCAGCACTATCCTCACACATTTGCTTTTATCTGGAATGAGATATAAGGAAAGAAGATGCTGGCAGTATTCAATCATCTCTCTGTGTTCATTTTTTCCCCAAAGAGCAGTGAAATGGATCAGAAGAGAGGCAAGGATTTACTATAGCCATAGGTGGGTTTGAGTAACACATAGGCATCAAAATTTCTAAATAAGGCCTGCAGAATGCTACTTCTTTTAAAATGTTGAGCTCTCACATGGAATCTTACCATTCTTTTGTGGGAACTCAGGATGAGATAATTGTATATTATTTTGGCATTACAAAAATGCAGTTTTGGCATTTTCACTATTGTGTGAGATTGTATAATGATAACGACCATTTCTAAAGGTTACCAGTCCCTGTCATAAACCATAGCAAAATCACTGGCTGAATAATACAAACAATAAAGTGGTTTCTTGGCTTGGCTTTAGCCATTTTCCTAAAGTGTGAACCTAATTATGTTTTTCAGCATCAGCAACTTAAGATACTTTAATGCAAGGAACTAGACTCTTTCTTTCTTTCTCTCTCTCTCTCTCTCTCTCTCTCTCTCTCCCTCCCTCCCTCCCTCCCTCTCCACACACACACACACACACGGAAAGACATATGGATACAAAGCTGATCTGGACTAACTGATCTGGCCTAGCTGGATAAGAAACATGTTGGATCTAAAAAAGTTAAATAGTGTGTATTTTAATACTGGCAGAAGTATTGACATATAACACTAAGTTGAATAACTACTACTACCATACTTTTTGATAGTTGTTTTAACAAAAATGAATGGTGGTGATAATTTCTTGCTCATATGCATCCCACTTTTGGCAAGGACCGTTTCAGTATATCTATGAAACTAATTTTTATTAATATGGTTTGAATTGTTTGTGATTCAGAAGAAGCTAATTATGTTCTTTAAAAACGTGTAACTGAATTCTGACATGCTTAGATTTTAAACAAAATGGCTTCAGAAGATGACAATGTTGTGCACAGAAATCAATAGCGGGGAAATAGTTAAGCAATTAATTATCTTCCTGAAGTTATTTTTTTCTTTAAAATATACTGAGTGGGGAACCTCGACTACATTTGCACATACTGTAATCTTTTACTAGCTCCCCAGCAGGACCAAAATTCATATAAAATGAAGCTTTAATTAACTTTAATGTATTCAGTTCTTTCTCACAACCTTGAACATAATAACATGTAGAAAATAAGTAGAAACACGTGTGTGAAAACATACAAATCCTTGCATTTTAACATGCTTTTGAGAAGCATGTACATATATTAAAACTGCTTTATTTTGATATTTCTTTACCAAATTGTATTCAAAATGCAGCAAATCTGATCAACGCAATACTTTACAAAGAATTTAGAGGACCAAGATTTCTAGCTAAAGATACTGCCTTGAGTTCCCTGATCTGTAATCTTGACTGGGTGGTGTTAATTATTGTCTTTCTGATACTGTGATCATACTTGTTTCTTGATTCATAATATATAGCAAGAAAGATTGTAATAAAATTATCTTTATTCAATACTACTGTGCATAACTATGGTTAGATTTTCTTTTTGTTGTAAGGTACGTCAAACTTAAACAAAACCAGATTAGTTTTATAGTGCTGTTAAATCAGGTGGCCTTTATTTTTATTTTTTTTCATTATTTGATGTAAACATGTGGATGATGATTGAGGATCATAATGTGAATGGTGGCTGAGGATCATTATCAGCATGTGAACTGTCTAAAGAGAATCAACAGTCAAATAACCATGAGTTCATACGAAGGGTCCAATCTACCCTGAAGAATGAGCATTTTCATTCTAAAGTGGCATGGTTATTTGTATCCTTTAATTAAGTTGTATGGAGAAGAACTATACAAAGCTTTGGATGTTTTATTTGGAATATTCATGAACACAAAGGTTGCACTTGTCTGCAGTGCATTAAATCAGCCATTTTGTTTCCCAAGACTAAGCAGATGTTTTAAAGTATTACATGCAGGACCAAAAGTACCTTTTGGAGATCAATTCCAAAGGACTACATAGCCCTTGTAATGAGGTTTTATCTATATAAAGTGTAGGTAAAATGGATGATGAGCATTTAATTACATATTCTGCACATCTACGTAGTTCAATATGTTTACAAAATAAGTTAGGGATATTCAAAGTGACTGAATCTACAACTGAACTTTAGAAATTGCCAGACATGTAACAATTAATTTTATCTTTTCCCCTCTTCTGATCATTGTTGATTTGGTGGCTCTAATCCCAGCAATAGCCCATAGCCTTTAGATTAAGGCTAAGAGATAGGGGGTTGATCAGTGCTTGCTACTACATTAAATTACCTTTGCACTCTCACATTCAGTACGAAGATATTTGGGAAAAAGTATACAGAAACTGACTATATTATTGATCAGTTATTCTGATCTCTGAGCTGCTTACACAAAAATCTGCATTTATAAGAACTGGAAACTTCTAATGGGAAAAGAATATTAGAGCCAGCAATATCAATTAATTAATAGACCACTCTCATTCCATTTTTTTCCCAAGAATCTCCTGCTTTTAAACTTGAAATGTTGTGGACCATGTCTGTTTGTGATGTAAACTGTGGCCTAATATTTCTCCTTTCCAAATGGATCATAGTTAGAAATCATTCTGTACAAACTTAAATCATATTAATCACAAGGTAACAAGACTTGGAGTGCTAATTGAACACAGTTGCAATTTGAGAACCTTATTGAACTATTTCATTCAAATGTAAAACACTGTGTTAGGTATTAAGTAGTTAGTAGATCACCTGCATGGGAAATGGCATCCGAATTCCAGCTTAATTAGAATACTGAACTTCCTCCTTTAGAGATGGTACACATGCAAATGCATTTGTGCTTTCTCAGATTTTTAAGAAGTGTAAAATTTAATCCTTAAAATAAAACCTAAAAGAATGGAAGTGGCGTTTATGGTGAAATTGGCAAAATATAAAAAGCAAATATAATAGCAAAGAAACACATTACCCTCCTACTGCTTTAGATTAAAGTGAGGCTATGGAGAAGGGTGTGATCTTTTGGCCAACTGCATATGCTATTTTCCAAAATTCTAGCCCTAGGTCTGGATGATGCCATCCAAAGACAATAGATACCTGTGCAACTGGTACTGGTACTCCAAGTTTGCCTGCCTTTTGGAGCAAAAATGTATTCTTGAACTTAAGACTTGTATTAAAAATCATGGTTTGGGTACATTTAAAGAACACAAAGTAGAGGAAGCACATAAAAGATACTGCTAAATTGTGCCATATGTTAATAAGTGGAAATTATGTGTATCTTTGACATATTGCCTTTCATTGCATTGCTAATTAGAATAATAGTTGTGTCTAGAAGAATGTGGCATGTGTACTCTGTGTGTGTCTTGAAGTTCTATGTACATGAAATTAACGTAGAAATTGAAGGCTTAGCAATGCAGGCCTTCAACAAGGGAAATAAAATTATATATTTTTATAGACAGTTGTACAATTTTAGGTCTCAGCTACAGTACATCATATCAGCTTCTTCCAAGAATGTAAAGCTGCAAGATTGGATAGAAGAGGGTGGCTGTGGAAATGAGAAAGAGAGTTCAATCAACCCCAACAGCCCTAGATGGATTTAATTAAAGATGCCTTTGAAATATATTTTTAGCTCTAAAATATTAAATGGAGAATATTTGCGAGCAAACTTTCTATGTCTATGACATTTGTGTAGTGCTTTGTATTGAAGAAATCAAATGGTTCTATGTTTATACTTCTTATTAATTGTTCTTGAGTTGTAGGGACAATAAGTAGACAAATAGTTTTTATTCCAGAAAAAAAGAATTTATGTGATGTGCAGTTGTGTATAACTGTTAGTGGCCACTGTCCCTATGAAGAATGTTGTTTGTATATTTTCTGGTTTGGCACATGTGACTTTTATCCATTTTGTAGTAAAGTTTACATGCTAAAATATGTAATAAGTAGAAAGATAATAAAGTCAATGAACAATCTAAGTGAAGACCAAGATTTAATTCCTGTTGAACAAAGTGCGATGGTTATTCTATTTATGTACTTTTTTTAAAAAAATGAGTCTCCTAAGTCTTGTGCTTCATTAAAATGAAGCATAATAACTGAGCTAGTGATGTTATGATTCTCCAGAAGGTCCCCTGTACGTTTACTCAAATTAATACGGGACATACTTACATCCAAAAAAAAGCATATAAAGAGAAAATTATTTTCTGGGAGAATATATTCTGTAGATGTAATCATAAAAGAATGGAAACAGTTAAAAGCATTTTTTAAAAGCCTCAAATTTTCTAGATTAGATTCTATAAAATAATCAAAAAGAAGATTACAGAATATTAGTTTTCTATTTTCTTCTTCAAGAGAAGAATTATCTTTTGCATTACAGGTTACAGTATATTCTTGCATAAAGCCGTCCATGAATTTTTAACTAGTATACCATGAAAAATGTGCCACCTGCAGATAAGCCAACCCTCAATTTTTTTCTATATTTTAATATTCACAATTGGCTTATCTGTGGGTGGCACATTTTTCATTGCATTTTGATTTAAAATTTGAGGGTCTGTTTCCACAGGTGGGCTTATTAATGAGTATGTACAGAATATATGGATAAAGAATATTTGGATAACAACTTCCCTCTCTCCATATATACCATGCAAAAGTCTTAGGCCACCATTAGAATTGTTGTGGCAATGGTATAATAACCATATATAATTATGGCTCAGTCTCCTCATTAGAATACAACAGGAAATTTGTAGGCAGTATTTAAAAATAGGATAAAGCAGAAAAAAACAGCTTCCACAGGCTTAAGTGGCAAATATGTAGCATGACCTCCCCTTACACTTGAGCAACAGCAAACACCTGGCTCCCATAAACCTAAATGAAATGAAACCCCAAGTGTTGTCATTGCTAACATCTCTATGTGTCCTACCATTTTATGCCAAAATGGACGTTGGTCTTAACCTGATACCTCTTTTCTCGATCAGAAGGAAACAGCAGTCAGACTGGGTATGACTCCTCTATGCAGCATGGGACTGAGTCTGCTAAATTTGAATAGCTCCGCCCTCCTGGCCCAGTGTTTCGGCGAGGGCTCTGGTGCAGACTGACGTGTCTTCCTGTAATGAGAGAGAATATCCACCCACCCCGCCAAACCCACCGGGCCAGACTCAGATGGATGGGGCTGACTGCCGTTTCCTTCTGATCGAGAAAGGACGTATCAGGTAAGACCAACGTCCATTCTCCGGAAGGAAGGAAATGGCAGTCAGACTGGGGACATACCAAAGCTGCATGTCCTCCAGGTAAGGATAGCTCCGGCCCGGAAGCCATTAAGAGTGATGCACTGCCTGCAAAACCCGACGGCCGAAGGCTTCGTCTGCCGATGTGAATGAGTCCACTCAATAGTGCCGGATGAACGGAGAGATCAAAGTCCACATGGCCACCCGGCAGACTTCCTCCAGGGGGGCCTGGGTCGCCCACACAGCCGATATGGCTGCACTTCTGGTCGAGTGGGCCATGATGTGGCGGGGCACCAGGAGTTTCAGTTGTTGGTAGGCTGTCATGATGGTGGCCCTGATCCAGCGGCCCAGGATAGGACTCTTGACACGGGAACCGATAGATTCCGGCTGGAAAGAAATTAATAGTGCCTCCGTCTTGCGGAGGGGAGCGGTCCTAGTGATATAAATCTTCAGGGCCCTGCATACGTCAAGGGAGTGCCAAGAACATTCCAGTCTATGTGCTGGGCATGGGCAAAAGTCAGGGAGAACCAGCTGCTGCGCTCGGTGGAAGAGGGTATTGACTTTGGGGAGGAAAGCCGGATCTAGGCGAAGGACCACCCTGTCATTGTGAAAGATACAGAGGTCACTGCAGACCGAGAGGGCAACTAACTCTGAGATCTGACAAGCAGAGGTGATGACGAGGAGGAAGGAGACTTTGAAAGACAAGCGGAGGGAGACCTGGCGGAGAGGCTCAAATGGAGATGAATTCAGCGCCGTAAGGACCTTGCTGAGGTTCCAGGTAGGATATCTATGGATGGCTGGTGGGCGCAGGTTAGTTGCTCCTCGCAGAAAATTGCGGATGAACAGGTGCCAAGAAAGGGAATCCGGTGAGCCACAGGAGAGGACTGAAGCGAGAGCCGCCACTTGGCGGCAGAGCTTGTTAGGGGCCAAACCCGCCTCGAAGCCATCCTGAAGGAAGGAGAGAACCTGAATGACAGAGGCGGTCAGCAGATCAGCATCGAAACGCCGGCACCAGGATGAGAAGGCATCCCACGTGGCCTCATAGATGCGGTTCGTTGACGGGTGGCAAGCGGCTTGAATGATGGAAATAACCCGAGAAGGAATGCAATCTGCCGTCAAGAGGCGCCACTCAACTGCCAGATGGTTAGCTGGAGCCACGTGGGGTCTGGGTACAGAGGGTCCCCTGGGAAAGTTCTATCTTGGCGTCCAGGATGCGCCAATGGTTGGCTGTCGACAGCGAGATCAAGTCCACATGCCATGACCGCCGAAGCCAGTGAGGGGCAATGAGGATGAGTTCCGCTCCCTCGTCCAGCATTTTCCGGACTACTCAAGGGATTAGCGGGAGAAGAGGGAATGCATAGAGCAGGCCGGCCAGCCAGGGACAGCGCAGGGCATTCGTGGCTTCGGCTCGCAGGTCCGGGAACCGAGAAAAGTACCTGGCCAGTTGGTGATTGGCTGCCGAGGCAAAGAGATCGACCACCGGGCTCCCGAACTGGGTAGCTATTTCCTGAAAGAGAGCTGGAGAGATGCTCCATTCTCCTTGGTCCACGTGAGTGAGGCTGAGGGCGTCTGCCTGAATGTTTGCCTCTCCTGATATGTGGTCCGCCTTGATGGAGTTGAGGTGGGCCTTGGCCCAGCGGCCCAGTAGAATGGTCTCTGTCAGGAGGGCCCTGGAGTGAGTGCCCCCCATCTTGTTGATGTGCGCCTTTGTTGACAAGTTGTCCGTTAGGACCAGAATGTCTTTGCCCTCCACTAAGGTGCGGAAGTGGACAAGGGCTAAGTGGACCGCTCTCAATTCCAGAAAATTGATGTTGCGTTGACGTTCCCGATCGGACCATTGACCCTGAGCCATGTGATGTTGCAGGTGGGCACCCCAACCTGATAAGATGGTGTCTGTTGTGAACTCAAGGCGGAGAGGCTCCCTGTAACTGCTGCCCCGTGATATGGCGTCCGAAGTCCACCACCGGAGAAAGGAGATGGCGGACTGGGGCAGTCTCAGGCAGGCCAGTGAAGTGCTTTGTCCGGACCTTTGGTGTGGCAGCAGGAGCCACTGCAGCTGTCCGCTATGCAAGGGAGACCAGGGGACAATGCCGAACGTGGAAACCATTTTGCCTAACAGGCAAGAGAGCTTCAGGATGGAGGCAGAACCCTCTGACTCACACTGGCTAGCTAAAGCCCGAAGGCTCACCTGGCGATCAGGGGATAGAGACACCTGGGAGGACACCATGTCAATGGCCGCCCCCAAATGTAGGATGTGGGTGGACGGGGAAAGGTGACTCTTAGGCCAATTAACCGAAAACCCCTGCTTCTGAATGAGAGAGAGGACTGTAGAGAGATCCCGACGGGCAGAAGGGAGGGAGGAAGAAAGAATGAGGATATAATCTAAATAAAATTGCAGATGGATAGGGATAGAGCAAATATGTCCTATCAGGGCAGCCATGACCTTAGTAAAAACCCTAAGGGCAAGGCCCTGTATTGGAAATGTTCCCCTTTGTAGTGAAAACGAAGAAATTGGCAGTGCGAGGGGGTTATGGGGATGTGGAGGTAAGCCTCCGTCAAATCGATGGAAGAAAGGAAATCCCCTGGCCTAACCCATTCCAAGATGGAAAAAAGAGTGTGCATCTTGAACCGGTGATAGATTATGTACCGCTTCAAGGCCTTGAGGTCTAGGATAGCCCTCCAGCCCCCCAAGGATTTCCTAACAATAAAAAGCCGGGAGTAAAACCCCTGGCCCTATTGGTCTGGAGGAACCCTTTGAATTGCTCAGATAGTGAGGAGATGCTGAATGGCCAAGGAGACCAGGACCTGCTTAGCCAGGTTGTGAGAAACCGGGCAAGAGAGGAAAACAGGAGGGGGAGGGCTGAGAAATTCCAAATAAAGTCCCGATTTAATAGTAGACAAAACCCAAGCATCAGAAATGGAAGCTTGCCATTGGTCATAAAAGAATATTGGCCACCAAAAGGGAGATCTACCTCTCCTGGAGAAGCGTCCCCTTCCACCCTGAAAGGACCGCCAAGGCGGAAACTTGCCCCCTGATCTGACCTGAGAGTCAAGTTGCTGGGATCTGGGCAGTGCGGGACACTGGTAGCGAGACTGGTACGAGTTGGAGTCAGAGACTCGAAAGGACTGGAACCGAGGATAGGGTGAGTAGTGGGTGTCCGCCCGCCTGTGGGCCGAAGGAAGAATCTTGCGCCTGTCCCTCATCTCAATCACAAGGGGAGGACCAAACAGGCTTCCGGTGGAATATGGTGCAGAGGCTAGCTGTCATTTACTGCCCATATCCGCTTGCCAACCTCTGAGCCACAGAAGACGGTGCGATGTGACAGAGGAACCAAGGGCCTTTGCAGCAAACCTGGTGGCATTCAGTGTTGCGTCAGCTGAATATTCTAGAGCTGCTGAGATCTTATTGAGGTCTTGATGGGCCCTGGTGTCAGAGTGGGGAATGCGGTCCTGGAGCTCCTTGAGCCAGAGAAGGGCTGCCCGATTGAAAAAGAACGCCGAAGTGGAAGCCCTGATCGACCAGGCAGCCACCTGGTGACCCTTAATTAGGGTCTTCTCGGCACGCTTATCCTCCGGCCAGAGAGAGTCCTCTGGGGGCCCAGTCGGATGAACAGGATTGGAAAGAGCCACTATGGGAGGATCGACGGTAGGCAGCTGCAGGAGATCAGAGAGGGTGGCTGCAGAGTTGTAAAGGCGTTTGTCCAGGCCCTTGGGGCTGGGCCCAGCTCCTGGTAAAGACCATTGATGATGGAGGA